CGTTCTCGACTGCGATCTGATACGTAAACAGATAACTTTACCTGTACGGAATAAGAACTTTACCACGACAACCAGAATTTCTTTGCACCTTCATCGTGAGATAACCACAATTCTCAACAATTTGGAAATGGTCATGTTCAAACGAAAATACACCTGCATGATCATCGTCTGAAAAAATCGCTCATTCATATTCTCATTTCTAGTTTCAACTGCACTATCCTTTCGAGATTTGAGTGCATCTTTCAGATCAATGTTAGAAAAACTATTCTTCAGGCAGTCCGGAGAGCTTTTTTATGGAATTTTTAAATAGCTAAGTGGTTTGAATCATCATTCCAAACGGTACAGTTCACTAACCAAGGATCATGATAGTCGCCGTGGGAGGTAGTTCAAGTGCTGCCACTGGAACACCACCAATGCAGGTCGGATCAAGGATAAGACCGTCTTTGGTTCGGACACGAAGATTTTTCAGATGTAAAAAGAAATGTTCATCCTCCTCGAAAACATCGTCGTCAACAATTTCAATTGTGATACTCTGAAAGAACGAAAATATTCACACTATTCAAATATTATAGGTCACCTTGATAAAGTGCACTCCTGGAACGTTCCATACTTTGAGTTCCCCTAAGAAACTACATACAGATTCATTTCATGTGCGAATCTCGTCCTGAATACGATATTGTGTTGTCTATCAAACTTGGTTCAACGAATACGCATTGTACTCTCTGATTAAATACACAGAACATGGTATTTGAATTGAACATGGTATTTGACCTCATCAAACGCATTTTCTTCAATTTTTTTGTTTTTTGTTTCTTTTCAGTTGATCTCAGAATATTTTTCAGCCGCATTCCATCAATGCTTACAAAATATTTCAATCTACATTAAATATGAGCAGNAAATATGAGCAGCACTATTCACGATAATTCAAATTAGACAGCCGAATCATGTGGCTGAATAGGATGCAGTTGTTTGACCTGTTGTTTATCTTCCGGGTAGAATGTCAGCGTTCCATTCACCGCAATATAATCACTACCAGCATTCGCTGTACCGTCCTCTGTGTAGTAGTCAACCATTACGGTAAGACCTTCGGGACCACCATCACGTCCAATCACCACGTCGAATGAACCAATATTCTCGAGTACCGTATACAAAGCTGGATCGAAAAAGATTCGACACGTGTTCTCTCGTGCTTGTTTCTCTTGTGCTTGAATGATCTGGAATAGATATGAGGTGATTTTGATTGCTTGCTGAGACTGATCCAATAGGATGCTGCATAACTGTGTAGAAGTCGATAACTCGTGACATTCTTCTTGAGACCACAACGAACGATTCTACTACGATCACTAAGTGATTTAGAATTTAAGTTGTATCTCGTAAGCATTCTCGAAATTTAAGTTGTGGATCTGAACTAGTTTCAAATCTGGTTCTATGAAGTATAGGTTCAGAACATGGGCATACATAACAACAGATTACAGCACGATGTGATGACGACAGTATTCAGGAGCGAAGGAATAAAGATGCGGGAAATTTCTGAAAAGCCTAAACAGCTGAAGGTGAAAGCCATGCGAAGCCTGTCACTGATAAATGGTAACAACGGGATGAAAGGAACTTTAGGAACATGAGGATCTGAAATTGCCCCGAAAGCATATCAGGTATTTCTGGAGAACAATAATGTGACAAGTTGCACGATACTTTGGTGACTACTCATCTGAGAATTAAAACAACCGATTGCAAGTCAGGGAAAACACTTGAATAACGTTGATTTTTTTGTTAAAAAACTTGCAAAATTACCTTTGAATTATTGTCCGTCTGGTATGAAAAAATAGAATGTGAGTGAAATGAAGGCATTAAAAAATCAACAACCAACCGTAAGCGATAGTAAATTCGAAACGGAACAAGCAATTTTGGGAATACATTTACGGAACAAATCAGATTTCTTCAATAGGAATCTTGAGGACAAGTCATCGTGTTAATTTCGTCCAATCAAAGTGACATTAAAAAAACTGGTGAACTCAGAAAGTTGATGAAATTGGGAAGTGATCTAAAAACAAACAACGTCAAGTGATTTGTGGTGTTCTTTATCGAGTCGTTTCTTAATGATATCGCCACCACCAATCAATCTTCTAGTTGCTTGTACCCTGAAAGAACAATGATCTAGGAGGATATTATCGTCACTTGAGCATCTCGGATTTTGCATCCATGTAAAAGGTTTGGTCGAAAGACTAACATCCCAAAATTCAGAATGTTTGGAATATTCAGCCATACGAAAAAGCAACAGCAGTTTTATTGAGTCGGTTACACTTCACAAAGTTATCGCCTGTTTCTTTCCATAGAGTTGGCGATTCAAACAAATTTTCTATTGATTTGAGCTAGTTTAGTGGCACGACATTGGAGTTCTAGCAATTCAGCAAATGATTTCTTCACGAACAGTTCACAGAAATACATTGATAAGAACCAGGCTGTCCTCAGTGCTGATGAGTCGATTTATCTATAACAGTTCACAGAAACTTACCGATAGAATGCTCTCGACTTTGGACCTCTACTGATCACTTCATATTCGGCTTGCTTTTGTAACTCGATGGGATCAATATTTGGATTTTTCTTTCTGATTTCGCGCATTATTTCGATGAACGTTTCACGATAATCCTCGAACGCTTTCAATGCTGGATCTATTACACCGTCCTAAAGTTTCTTTCATTGTTGATGGCTAAAGTGTTCGTCGATGCGTTATTTTCACTTGGACACAACAGACTGATCAAAAAATTTTCGAAGCACCTTATTTGTTTTGATTCCACCGAGCATTTTCATCTCTTCATCCTCGGTCGCAACGAGACCTCGGGACGTTCGCCTGTATCGATGAGGTAGGAATCGCTTCTGAAAGATTCAAGCTCATCCTTGATCGAATAGATCAATTGAATAGGTCAATTTTTACGGATGTAGACTGCCTGAACCACATGATTAAATAATTAGCTGGATGAAGACAGATCCATGTACCGATTACCTGTAGGATTTTGATATCAGTTATATAGGCGGTGAACACTGTGATTGGAAAGAACATGAACGTAAGCAAGCCTTCCCAGATTTCAATAACACCCGGAGAGAATACCGCCAGAATCAGATACATCCAAATGTACGCAAATAGAGACCTGAAAGTCAGCGTCAGTTTCAAAATGAATAAGTGCTTTGATAGATAACTGATCGTGCTCTTGGCATGCTCTCGATAAATATCAAACTCCGAAGGTATTCTCAGTTCTGGTATCGTAAACGATCTGAGAACGCCTCGGTTCTCACGCGAGATGCCACTGAAGTAACATCATACCATGTAGCCGTAACGCAGAATACGTCAAGATGTTTTTGGCGACGAACTTCAGGGCTTGGAACGGCCACAACGCAGATTGCAATAATCATAAACAAATTGAAGGCAGCCGAACCGACAATCGTATTCGGGCCCAGATCACCCGCTTCGAAACCTTTACCCATCACCTGAAACCCCCATGTGAAAAATCATTTGAAAATATCGCATGATGTCTTGAAAATTGAAGAATTCATGCAAGTTGCATGGTGCATGACAATTCGCAAGGTACTACGATGAAGCGAGACTCGAAATAGCTAAACAACAGACTAGATATTCTTTTTTCGAACTGAACAACCATAGGTAATATCAGGAATGGCAGTCCGATCTCCCAAATCATATGAATTCCTTTTGCTCTTTTCAAACTATCAAATGTATTCAACCGGCAATCAAATTTCTACAGTTCGAAATATTTCAAATACAGACGCTATATCAATATAATATGAACAATCACTGGAATTGGCTTGCCTCGATAATGGAGAGAAGAATCTCAGGAGCAGATGAGCCTGAAAAAAAAAACATTCCTAGCTCGACCATGATTGATTTTGATTGGAATGGAATATAAAAATGAGTGCAAAAGTCCAATGATTCGCATTAGGGAATAGTATAGCTATGTTAATGCATCTAAACTAAAGTGCATCTTAAAAGTATCAAGATTATGCTTCAATTTCTTCCAGCTCGCGAGTTGTGTACGAAAGTGGATAGTTTATTAAAATCGCCATAATTTTTTTGGATTGAACCGCCATAGGTAATTTAATATGAAATTGGGCGCAAATTTTTGGATGAAACGAATAATTAATGCTGACTAACCCAACGCCATCAAAGTCAAATTGCTAACGGTATCGTTCCATATTCGAACTTTCACTTTCAATGGTTCAAGTCCTGGTCTCTTAACGTGCACTGTTCGCTCTTGACTGAAAACATTACATCGTCGGATAAGCTGAATCATTCGCATTCAACAAACATTATTTACGTATAGACTCCTGTCGAGGACGAATATCACAGGAGTATTTCTTGACTGTGGTAGGGAAAATGTAGATAAAAATCTAGTTGCAAAGATTTGAATTCGACTGAATCTGACATCCGCTGACGGTATGTGTAATGAGATTAGACAACTTTTTTTTTTTTCCAATTGTTTAGATGGGGCTAGAATATTTTTGCGAATCAATTCAGCGTTCATTCAACAGGTTGCGTTATATCGCAAAAGCGTTGATCAGGAGGAGCGTCACGATTAGTTGAGTGGTTGGTATTAAAACAAACCTTGTGATCACTTCAATCGAGGACATAAAACGATCAGCTACGATCGAAACACCCAGGAAACAATAGGCGATAACGAAGAAGAAGATAATGCCTCTCTTCACCCTATCCTTCGTGGACAAGTCCAAAAATGGACGCCTGAAATGCTTCCGATTGCAATTGCGACGGCACACTCATTAACTCATGTTTCCCACTGCAGACATGCCCGAAAAAAAGCGAATGACTGAATCTTTCTCTCGATCAAGTCAACCACACACAACATTTTCAGGTGCTGCTTGCAGTTAGTTTTCGGATAATCACTAAGAATTTTTTCGGATAAGATCTATGATCCGAGAATGAAATTCGCATCATTCCGAACGTCATCCACATAAGGCATTATGTAGCTGTGAAAACTGATGTAAAACATGTAAACTTCGCATCTTACATGGATGAAGGTGTGGAAATGTTCACAAACACTCTACAATTGGGAAACGGATCAGTAGGCATCGCTCATGTTTAACTCCGCATCCTATGTTCGGATCTCGATTTTGTGTCATGTTTTGTCACTGGAGGAATGCATTGCTACAGGTTAGCACACTCTATATTGGATGCAAAAAATGAATGCATGAAAGTGGAAGAACAGACCAAATCGGTACAATCATGCCATCGATGCAGTTTTTTGTGGCATCCGCTGCGGAGCAGTTTGTGCCCGCTTCACAGAACGTAACCACTGTG